GGGCACCACGCCTTTGACTGGCACTACGCCCGTAGCTGGTAGATCTAGCGACGACTCTGATGATGAGTAGCGTTTGGTAGGATTGAAGTATCTGGCTTCAGCATGGAAATGCTGGGCCAGCCGTATAGTAATACTATGAACATAGTTCATGAATGTGTATGAACGCTCCCGTAACGCCAGAATTCCGCATTCGTATAATACAAGAGCCTGAAAGCTCGCTGTTGTTCGTATCCGTAAACTCCCATCCGTATGCAATATCTCCTCCATGCCCGCGACAGACTCCTCGCATGCTCATTTGTTCTCATCCAACTCCTTCCACACCTTCTGTATCTTCTCCCTCTTCTCCTTGGCCGCCTCGCGATTCTGCTTCGTCCGCTCGAGTCGCAGGCCGCGCAGGCACATGTTGACTTTGTATTTCGCGTCGGTGCAATTCCCTGTTACTTTCCAGATGAAGCCGCGGTTATGGCATTCTTCTAGCGCTGCGACGACGTCTGCGCAGTCTATTCCGTGGATGTTAGAAGGTGTGCGCTGTGGGCTGCGTGGAGGGGGAGGGGTGGCGCACTCTTTTGGACTTCTTCGGTGTGTAGATGGGGATGCATTGTGGATTTGCGCGGGGTGTGTTGTTTGCGAGGGTAGACGGTGCGAGGTTTGGGAGACTTGGAGGTGAGGGTGGTGGTGCTGGGCTCGATCGGACGGGTACTTGGAGATGTTGAAGTTGCCGACGAATCGAATCGTTGAAGATCTCGTGAACTGCGTCCGAGCGCGCGCCTTCACTCGTAGCCACTTTGTGTCGAACGCGTGAAGACTCGCGAGGCTTTTCAGAAATTACTCGGCCACTTCCATATTCTGTTCTTTATCCAGGTTCAGCGACTATCCGACTTCGTACCTAGGTACATTGTACGCATAGAATCAAGAATCTTCTCTCCCCCGAGTTCCCCGCAACCACCGCCGAGTCCTCACCACCGGGAACGCGTCAAAAAGTCATATTGTCAGTATGGCATCCCAGCAGCAGCTGAAGAAGCAACAAGGTCAGTGGTCATATTGATTAATCTTTTCGCCCTCGCTGAACCAAAACAGAGCTACAGACGACATATCAAAACTACAAGGTAAGAACGGTTCACAAAGGCGCGAATGCTTAACTGATCTTTTCGAAGAATACACTCCAAACAATTGCCTCAAAGATTGGCGACATCGAGCAAGAGACAGAAGAGCACAAGTAAGTTGCATAGCACCATCACTACGAAGCCACACCCGGCGATCGTTCAAACCTTCCCACACCGCTCGTCCCTTGCATCAGCCTTGCATTGCTCCATGACTTGATAGTTCCAATATCCCACACCGCTTCATGTTTAAATCACAACACAATCAATACTGACAGATACCAGACTCGTATTGGAGACGTTGCAACCATTGTCAGGAGACCGGAAATGCTTCCGTATGATCAACGGTGTCTTGACCGAGCGAACGGTCAAGGACGTTGTGCCGATCCTGCAGACCAACTCGGATGGTCTTAAGCAGGCTCTGGAAGAGCTAGTCAAGCAGTACAAGTTGAAGCAAGATGAGATGGAGAAGTGGAAGGTACGTCATCAGTTGCACTTGGATCTCACACAGCGTTGACCCCGGCTTCTATTTCGATATCAAGTAACTAACTTCTCTTACAGAAGAAGAACAATGTTCAAGTTGTCCAACAGCCAGGGCAGTAAAAGATACCAGTGATGCAGCAACCCTTTGACAGGATGGGCACACGGCATATGCTGGGAGCCACATGAGATGACGCAGACGAGTACGGCAGCGATATCTCCGGTGACTGGAAATAGGGTAGATGGATCGCGACCCTGGCAAAGGGGTCTGCGTGTTGCAAGACGGAGTATACAGACGTAATAGGGTCTCTCCGGTTTCCGAACTTTGCACAGCAGATCAGGCCACGACAGAACAGCACAGCCTCTTGATGACAACGAAAGGCTTGCCAGTAAATGAGTCCTATATCGATCGTGTACTATACCTCCCACAAATTACGAGAATCTTGCAATGTCACGATTGAACCAGCCACGACAGACCCGGGTCGCTGGGCTTTCAGCTACCATCCTACCAATGATGCCGCACATGCAGCCTGAAAGACCCCACAAGCTCGCAACTACGTATGTGTCTACACGGAGTGACTGATTCAGGACTGCGCCGTTGTCCCGACACGTGCTCCTAGCCCCAGGGGTCTCTGCAAGATGCGTTGTCCAGTCGGCTCCCACTCAAAGCAACGCACTGATCTGCACCATCTCACCCATGAAAACGGACACGTAGCTCATAGGCTACCAGCAAAGTCTTCACAGAGAATGACGAACGGTCCGGGGGTCGAGTCGTTAGTGGCTGACTTGAACGTCATCTCGTGTTGGCTTAGTGAAGCTGGAGCAAGGCTGTATGCAATATGCGCGAGAGCCCAACGAACAGCGAAGACTACTGACGTCGACGACGGCCTGGGATGATGCTAGAAGAGGCTTGGACAACACACGTTCTCGCTGAATGTCATCTGTGGCTGCAGTGGTGAAGACGCGGCAGAGATATGGACGTGGGGTGGTGTTGGTAGGGCTGCCGAATGAGCTGCTGATGCGACTCGCATACAGGATCGCCAGCTAGCTCGAGGAGTCTGCAGTAGTAGGCCAGGTTCCGAACAGACGGTATGCCGGTGCTATGACCGGTCCGAATATTGAAGGACATGCACGGTATTGTAGGAAGCTGCGCGTTGGAAAGCGAATGCGGCGCAATGTTGCTAGGCATGATGTGAGAGGGGAGCTGGTTCGGCACGGGCCGGGATTGGTGCGGGCGGCCGAATTTCTCTTCGTTCTCACCATTCGATTCGCCCATCGAGGTAAATCCCCAATCCACCATCTCTCCGCGCACCAACGCTATCGCGCGTCCAAGCTCCATTCTCCCCCATCTTCTCCTCGCGCTCCTATTGGTAGGCGCGTCGCTAACTGCTCCAACGTCGCGACGTCAAGTCTCGATTGACAACTGCCACGCCTAACTGCGCCCGAATAACGCCCTGATTCAAGCCGGTCCGCCTGCATATCGTCCCACCGCTACTCGCAAGACACGGTCTGTGAATCGCCAGTGTCGCACGCGGTATCGTGCCCGCCGCCCGTAGCACACCAACTCCGCCGTGTGTCGCGACTGCCCCGATCGCGGTCGCGCCTGCCACTGTCGCAAAGCGCCCCTGCCCGCTCCATCGTGGGTGCAACGCCAGCATCGCAGGTAGCCCCGGGCGTCACCACGAGCCGTAGTTCACTCGACGCTCCCTTGCGCCGTGCTCTCCGCTGTCGCAGCTCCCCACGTACGTTAGCTGCATCCCAAGCTGGCCGCTGCATGCCACTAACCGCTTCCTTCGCCAGGCCTCTCGTTACACCACTGACCGCAGGTTGCATACTCGGCCGCCAAGTTGTCCCGTCGTTTCTCCCAGTGACGTGGTCGCCAACGAAATAGTCGCCAGCGCATACGCTTCCGAGCAGGCAACCGATAATATGTCGGCCTCTCCCCCAAAGCAGGAGGGTGTGGAACCAGTCCAGTCGCCTGACGAAGAACAGCCCATGGACAGGAACACAGAGGAGAACACAGCTCAGATAGGTTACGAATTCGAGGTCAAGGAGCAAGACCGATGGCTTCCAATCGCCAATGGTACGTCTATTTCCCTTGCTGCCTCCCGCTGTTTTGATTTGCGCACCGTTTCGCTCCCATCTGCACGTCGACGGATTGCTCCAACGGGCGTCTCTGGATGCCGACAGTTCCTCGACTCGCGCGTCTCTGCGTCGAATCACCGCAACTCGGCAGCCACTCAGGTCTGCCGTGTGCCTGGAAAACGGCCGGCGTGCAGCCTGCGAAATGTCGTCCTCTTCTCCACACTCGTCCCTTTCCCCGCCCCTTTCGACGCCAAAGAGCACAAACGCGAATAGCAGCACGGCTTCGGATGCTAACATACGTAACTTTGCTCCAGTCGCGCGAATCATGAAGATGGCGCTGCCCGAAAACGCCAAGATCGCCAAAGAGGCGAAAGAATGCATGCAGGAGTGCGTGAGCGAGTTCATCTCCTTCATCACCAGCGAGGGTATGTCTCACTCCAGCCCTGTCCGAGACCGCCACTGACTCTACTGCCAGCCTCCGAAAAGTGCCAGCAGGAGAAGCGCAAAACCGTCAATGGCGAGGACATCCTCTTCGCCATGACGTCGCTTGGATTCGAGAACTACTCGGAAGCCCTCAAGATCTACCTGTCCAGGTATCGCGAAGTAAGCTGCCAACTTTTCCTATACCCCCTTTGTCCTTCTTTTGTTGCCTACTATTTGGCCGAAACGTTTATCTGAACTATTGGTATTGATTGGTGGTACGAGACCCTCCTCGCAAATCAGAACAAACCACCCACTGGGCAGTTCGGTTCCGCAGGGCCCGGTGGGCCCGGTGCAGGTCCCGAGAATCAGCAACATGTACTGAGCGGCGACTCCGAAATGACCGAAGACGGCACAGCCTTTGGCTACACGGTCCACAACGGGAACGGAAACGAGTACTAGGTGTCTCGGGCTCTGGCGATCAGCGAGGAACGAGAAGAGGCGGGAGACGATTGCGAGAAGCAGAAGCAGTCGCATATCAACCCGATCGCCGGAAAGGAAATTCTCCCAAAGGAGGAGAAAGAGTGATGAAGTTAAGGACACCTTCGCTATGGTCAGATTGTAAGAAGTGCGCAACTGTCGCTCACAGTCGGTGGATCATGTTTGAGGTTATCAGGGCTAGGATGCAGGTGCATAAATACTCTGATGTATTACGATTGGTTGGAGTAGGTCAGGACATACATGGGCAACCACGATACCTTTTGGCTTTGCCGGATTGCTGGTCTAGATATTTCTTCTTGCTCACACGAGCTTTACAACATTCGTTATATCCTTTTGATCAAATATCATCAAGTTCACGACAGATCGAACTAGTTGTCTTCTTATTGGTGTGGTGTTGATGCTGTATATGCATGTCTACTGGCTGTTCACAGCTGCAGCCTGTCTCCGAGCAATGAGTTGGCTCAGCGGCACATCATCGTCCTGTTCGTCGTAAAACTCCACATCCTCATCGACACCAAAATCCTTCAGCCGTTCGCCCTCTGAGTTTCGCCAAGCTGCCTCCCCTTCCCGCCCTTTACCACCCTTTCTTCTGTCAGCTTCCTCCTCCTCTTCCTCGACATCATCACTAGCATCATCCCCATACGCATAGTCTTCCTCATCCCTGATCATCTCCCCATCCATCTCATCCTCCACCGCATCCTTTTCCACAGCCCCAGCATACGGTCTCCGCCTCCTCACGGCATCCTCCGCCTGCCTCATCTTGAACGCGGCCACCGTATCCTCAGCATTCAACTCCGACTCCGCAAACCGAAATGCATCCGCATTCACCGCCGTCGCATTCCTCCTATACGCCCGATCCGGATCCGGAGGCGGCCAAACCGTGCCCTCGTCCTCAAAGCCATTCGTCTCAAAAGATAGTCCACTGCTCAGACTAGGTGTCGGAGCCAGGGTATTAAACCACTGCAGCGGCATACTCGAGTTCATGCCCTGTACGATATTCGACCAGATACCGATATCGTACGGGAACTCCTGTTTCTTAATGCGTATCTTGGTTCCGTCGGGACTAGGTAGGTAACCGCCATACTGGCGCGCACGGCGTAGAAGCGTTCTGTGGCGTTCGATTTCCCAGCCTTCGATTGTGGTTTGGTTGATGGCTAGGCACCAGAGGTTCCTCAGTAGGAGGACGCCGAGGATGAACAGGGTGATCGAGTTTGTCAGAAGGACGGCGAAGAGATGACCTAGTTGGAAGGGCGTGGGGCCGAGGTAGGAGGGCATGTCTAGATTGGACCAGAGGTGCGAGAGGCGGATGAAGAGGAAATATTGGAGGAGGGAGAGGCCGAAGGTGGTGTAGAGGAGGAAGCGCAGGAAGTGCGGGAAAGTGGTGTGGCTGACGCAGTTGTTGGTCCAGGGGCAGTGGTGGTCCATTTTGGGGATGCATCTTTTACACTCCTTGCAATGATGCGCTCTAGGTGGCTTCGCGGCGTCGCACTTCCGACACCATTTCCGGCTCTTCCCTGCGATATCCAGACCTGTCTCTTTGCCAGATGTATCGCCATGTTCATCTCCCTTTTCGGCACCTAGCTCTTTCTTCGCAATCCAATCCTTTGGTATGGTTCCGGCATCAACGAAAACACTCTTCGTGTACGTAATCCATATCAAGACCAAAATCACATTCGATACGATGAGTTCATTCTTCGTGAGCGGAGCGGGTTCCAACTGCGTCAACAGCCATTGTGAGGGATAGCCGAGGAAGAAGATGAGGACGTAGACAGCCGGGACTGCGACTTGATTGATTTCCATCATGCGAGGGACATTGGCGTGAAGATGTGGTGCGATGAAGGTTGACAGAAAGGCAGGATGACGTTGCGGATGTGGAAGGGAGGTTTCGCGTCGACTAGGGTCGTCTGCGGATGTGGTGGATCGCGAAGACACGTGATTGGACGATCATGTAAAAGCAACGGACCACACCTTTCATTCGTCCGTCGCCATCCTCTACCAACCACTTCATCGCGCCTGTCATCTCCATTCCCACAGAGCTTCCAAAAGCTCTGTTACTTGTCCGAATGCTATGGCGCTCTCAACATGGCCGTTTTTCCTCCTCATACCCACTTTTGTTCTAGTACACCTGTTCGTTTCGCCGTACACTAAAGTCGAAGAGTCGTTCAATATCCAGGCTATACATGATATCCTCGTTCATGGGATACCTACAGAGAATGCGGATCAATTCTTGACGGCGAACTACGATCACGTTAGTTTTCCGGGCAGCGTGCCGAGGACGTTTGCGGGCGCGTTGGTTTTGAGCGGGTTGAGTAGGCCTGTGGTTGGGTTGTTGGGGGATATGGCGCAGGTGCAATTGCTCGGTGAGTAGACGCGGGGGTTTCAGATGGAGGATAAGAAGGCTGATTGTGGGCATAGTGAGAGGAGTACTTGGTCTGCTTAATGCGGCTTCGCTTGTTGCGTTTGGGAGGAGCGTGCAGAAGGCTTTTGGTACCAGTGCTGGGGTTTGGTATGCGCTGTTCCAAGCCAGCCAGTTCCATGCTATTTACTATGCTTCGAGAACGCTGCCCAATATGTTCGCTTTCGTGTTCAGTAAGTTGCATGAGGTGATTTGTACATCTATTGGCTTATATCAATTTAGGTAATTTGGCCCTTCGAAGCTTGCTACTCGCATACACTGTACCATGGAGCACCTCCAACATCTCAGGATACTACCGGCTGTGCTTATATCTGCTCACGATTGCCGGTGTAGTCTTCCGCTCGGAGTTAGCGATCTTAGTGGGAACAATCACCATCTACTTGTTCATCACTCGGAGGATATCCATCACAGGTGTCATCATTCCAGCTGGACTTGGTGGCCTCGTCATTGGCCTACTCTGCACTGTACCCCTGGACTCGTTCTTCTGGCAATCTTTCCCGCTATGGCCTGAGTGGACGGGATTCTACTACAACACTATCCAAGGGCATTCGGCTGACTGGGGTGTCTCGCCATGGCATTACTACTTTGCAAATGCCTTGCCACGATTACTACTGAACCCAGTAACCTACTTGCTTTGCATACCAGTTGCGGTCATGAACACATCGACTTCTAGACGAAGCCTGGATCTTCTTGTTCCACTGCTCAGCTTTGTGGGGTTGTACAGCTTCCTTCCGCACAAGGAATGGCGCTTCATTCTCTACGTGATTCCAGGTTTGACTGCCGTAGCTGCCGATGGAGCAGCTTGGATCTGGAACCGCAGAACAAAGTCGGTCGTATACGCGATTCTAAGTTTAGCTTTAGTAGGATCAGTCCTGGTATCGTTCATTGCATCCACTGCGATCCTGGGTATCTCCAGTCTCAACTATCCTGGAGGCGAGGCTCTTCACACGCTACACAAGGAGATGGAGCACCCGGCTAGAAATCACTTCAACGTATACTTCGACAACCTTGCTTGCCAAACAGGCGTCACGCGATTCCTCGAGAGCCACAGAGGACCGCAGACAGTGCTCGATGTTCTTGAAGCACAGGACACTTTGAACAGCAGAACATGGACATACGACAAGACTGAAGACCCAAACGTCCTCTTAGATCCATTGTTCTGGACCAAGTTCGACTATGTTCTTGCTGAGAGCCCGGAGAAGGTTATAGGTAGTTGGGAAGTGGTCCATACTGTATATGGATTCGGCGGGGTCAGGCTTTTGAAACCGGGAGAAGAAAGTGGCTCGTTGGTCGAGCAATCGGACAATACGACTTCGCAAGACAGGTGGGCGTCGAAGATTGCAGCAGTATGGCATGGGCTGGAAGGGTTGCTAAGGAATGGCCTGTTGAGAGGTTACTGGGCTGAGATACGGATGGAGCCGAAGATTCGTATCTTGCAGAACCAGATGAAGTAGTCGTGGGAAGTAATGAGCAGCCACGACCGAATGTGTAATAATTCAGTCGACCTTTCCCTTGGATGAGGTGGTTGTTTGGTGAAAGTCCGCGGGCGTCACTCGCGTTGAAGGACCCTTGCGCTTCGCATACCCCGCCACGCGGGCTTTCTGCCCCACTAAGCTCTCTCTTTCCAAGCATCGCGTCGACACCCAGAACCACCACTCAACGCACCACTCTTTGACACCTCAAGGTACCTGAGAGTCTGAAGTATATCACACTGCACAAGATGTCAGCCGACGCGTTACCGAAGCCCGTCGTCTACTGCGGAGGCAAGCATTCCCACACTCCATTGCGACTACGGCTAACAAGAAGCAGTATGCAGTCTACCACCTGAAGTAGGTATGACACCGAGACGCGTTGGGAGGGAAATCGCGACTGACTAGACCAACCCATAGTACTGCGAATTTGGCGGCACAACGAAGAAGTGTGAGGAATGGCTAGAAGAGGCGCATCCAGATCTGCACGCGAAGTTGTACTCAGCAGGTACGTATACTCGACCATATTGAGAAGCCTATCACGCGCAGTCGTCTCTCGTATAGAACTTCATGCTAACTCCCCTCCAGAAGCGCTACAGCAAAACATGGCCTCCCTCTCCGTCGACGCCCAAAAACGCGCCGAAAAGGACGCCCAGAAGAAAGCCGCCAAAGCCGCAACCGCCGAAGCACGCGCAGCCGAGACGCGCGCGTCGTCCAAGATCCTCATCAAGCGCATCGAGCGCAACAAGCGGAAATACGTCACCGCCGTACAGGGTCTGGAAGCCTTTGGTCTCGACATCAAGAAGGTGGCCAAGGACTTTGGCAAGAAGTTCGCGACAGGGTCAAGTGTTACCAAGATCCCCGGTGGCGGCGAGGAAATTACGGTGCAGGGTGATTTGAGCGAGGATATCTTGGAGTTCTTGGTGGACAAGTACGATGAGGTGCCTGAGGATAACTGCGAGTTGATAGAGGATAAGAAGAAGAAGAAGGCTGAGGGGGGTTGAATCGTTTGACGGGGTGATCGGTGTCAGGAGATGAAGTGTATATCAGCATAAGCATAGGAGTTGTTTGCTGGCGCGTGTAGGCGCAAGATAGAAGATGAGGAAACCATGGCTGGAGGCCAGTCCACTGTAGAGGGCGTGGCTTCGTGTTTATCTGCACCTATACCTTCGTTGCAACATAGCAGTGCATATGTCCAGATAATAGGGCTATCGACGCGTCTCTTGTGCTGCAATATCCGGGATGATAAAACATGCGCTGTTCATTGTACACCTTCGAGACGTATCATACATCTGCAAATGTAGTATCGCGATAATAAAACGACTTAAATCATCCTCGAAGCAAATTATGATACTCATATAGCATTCGAAGGATACTAGTTGCGGATTACGCGTATGGGATGTGGAAGGGTCATGATGAATGGTCATGGCACGTGCGTGCTTAGCTGCCTGTCGGGAGCTCCATCATTTTTCTCGGGTCGTTGCCTCCAGCGCTCTCACTATATAACCAACCTTAGGGCGTGCCCACAGCCCGACCTATATCAATCGCTCGGCCTTTTCCTTTTCTTCATTTTAGAGGACACGGCGACACGATAATTCGCCGCACACAGTCCTTAATTTGCGCGCCGCCGACTAGAGAAGGCGATCCCAAAAGCGCAAGCCGCGCAAACCCACGATACCCACCGCGACCATGTCGAACGACCAGAAGAACCTCGGGCAGTACAAGTATGCGGCCATGTCAAATTTGGTCTTGCAGGCCGACAGACGTTTTACACACCGCGGGAAGGATGAGCACACTGGCGACCCCGAGTCGCTGGCAGGTCGCATCAACATCAGAGACATGGGCGGACGCACAGCGCGTGATAGCGCAAATGCGCAGGCGACAAAGAAGCTCAAGGGACCTGGCGTTGAGCGCGGAAATCTGAATGAGGGTGGCGATGTTCTCGAGAGAGAGCAGCGCAAGCGGAAACGGGACGATGGCACCAGCGCTTTTGGAGCCACTGCGACGGCCGATTTCAATATCGAAGGCCTCACATACAAGCCGCGGACCCCTGCGACGCGCCAGACTTTCGACCTCATCACAACCCTCGTGAGCAGATCTCTCGGCGATGTCGATCCTGCGACTACGCGAAGTGCGGCCGATGCGGTCCTCGAATACCTCAAGGATGACACCATGAAGGACTTCGACAAGAAGAAGGAAGTGGACGACCTTCTTGGTACTTCTATGGGCGGAAAGGAATTCAACGAGCTGATGAACCTGTCCAAGAAGATCACCGACTACGACGCGCAAGACGACGAGGAAGGCGATGAAGAGATGGCAGACGGCGATGGCGCTGACACTGGCGACAACCAAGGTGTAGCCGTCGTATTCGACGACGAAGAGGAGGACGAAGACGGGCCGCAGACGTTCGAAGTGCGAGATGCCGATTCCTCGGACGAAGAAGACGAAGCAGAGGCGCCCATAGAGCAGATTGGCGAGGACGAAGACCAGAAGGGTGGAGGTTTCGCGGATACCGAAGAGACGATAATACAGGGCGACACGGCCACCGCAGACCGCACAAACGGCGCAGACCAACTTATACCCGCACACGAGATCGACGCCTACTGGCTGCAACGGCAGATTGGGCAAATATACGAGGATGCCCATATCCAGCAGGAGAAGACACAGGAAGCGCTCAAGCATCTCGCAGGAGTCTCGGAAGATGGTGAAGAGAAGGAGCTCCGTGAGATTGAGAACGACCTGATGGATCTCTTCGACTACGAACACCACGAGCTGGTTGCGAAACTCGTACTCAACCGCGATAGGGTCGTCTGGGTTACGAGGTGGCGAAGGGCTGCTGAAGACAACGATGAGCGAACAGCTGTCGAGCGGGAGATGAGAGCTGCCGGTCAGCAACGGATTCTGCAAGAGCTGCGCGC